GGCCGCAGTTACTACTTTGAGGCTAGTGGTGAAAATTCAAACACGGTTCGTTATAACTTTTCGTTAAAGGTATCTGACTAGTCTAAGGTACTCGCATTTGAAAGTGCGCACTTTCTTCAAATGATTATTTCTCGTCTTTTGCCTTCCAGTATTTTGGTGGTTTGAGAGCTTTTCTGATAGCTGATGGCTCTACTGCTGTCGAGCGTGCGCTTTTCTCAAAAATTTATACTCTTTTTGCTGTTGACCCAAACCATTTTTGTTTCTTTTTTTGCTTGCAGTGTTCTGCTTGTATTGGAGTTCCAAACGGCGCTATCGTAGTTAAGGGTAAGAGTGCGCACAAGCAATATGTTTTGTTTTTAATCGTCTTCATTTGTTTCTGCACAAAGTTCTCACCATCCTTAATTCATCTGCGAAACTAATCAAAATCTCCATCTTCTGGAGATTTTGATCAACTTTTTAAAGATTATTTCAGATACCAAAAAGGCGATAATGCAGGATTCAGTAAATTTTAGCAATGAAGAGACGGAACAACCGCCGCCTTACAGAGAACTGTATCCGAACTCAGGTGAAATAAATCAGCAGTGCTCAGTTTGTTCCACCAATCAGTTTGCAAGTGATTCTGAAAGCATTCTTAGAATACTGAAAGCCTGTGACTTTGCCGCGCAGCGTCATAGTTTTCAACGGAGAAAAGACGTTCATCAAACGCCGTATATCAATCATCCCATTGGTATCCCTCTGTTTCTTGATACTTGTTGAAGTAACACTTATTGTTTTTTTATGAAATAGTTGCTTGTTTTGTCAAGTGAGTCTCTCTTCTTCCATCTATTCATTTTAGATTTTTAATTTTGTTTTAAATGGTGACGTGTCCAGAACGGTTAGGGAATTGCTATTGGGCGTACTTGTCATTTAAGTTTTAGATTTTTAAATAAAAATTATGGTTTCCTTTGTCTCTGTTGTTATGTTATCTAGAGAGCATAATGAATTTTGTAATTAGTTTCTTTTTTTAACACTTATTATATCATTTGAGGTCTGCGAACAGCAGAGTTGTTGGTGTCATTTGATACAATTGTTCATAGCTGTTAACACCGTTCCCTTTTGTTTCCGGATTGCAGGTGTTGCCAACATACTTGTTGGCGAAGGGGGTGTTATGGATTCTGCTACTATTGTATCAGCTTTGTTACATGATACAGTTGAAGATACTAGTACTACGATCGATGAGATCGAGGAAATATTTGGTTCAGAAGTAATTAATGTTGTCCTTT